CACAAAAACCCTTTAAACAGCTGCTGTGTGTCAAAGTAGCTGACATGTGCCGTGACTGTCAAACAATATGGAGCCTCTTTCCCTGCAGACGTGCAGCAGAATGGGAAATATAAAGGTCTTAATTTGTGCGGAGTCAGACTGAGGTTTTAGTTTTGGTCTCTATCATCAACATCTTTCTGCCTCTCGGCCCCTCGTCATCCGTCTCACTGTACACCTCGTCAGCAGGAGCCGGACTAACATCAAATTACCGCAAGCCTCTGAAAATCCTCACAATTTAAACACTTTTCTGTCCAATAGTTAAAATAAATTCAACTAACTGAAAACAAAAACAATGCCAACAGGGACTGCCAAATGTCACAAGGCCTTAGACGGAATGATGAATACAGATCTGGGTTCAAGATGTCATGAAATCATCACACACAAACACTAAAAACACATTTTGGAAAATCTGACAGCTTGAGAGACGTGTGACATTCCCACAATTTGGTGATGCACACTCTGCTTGAAATACAGCAACATAATTCAATAATTTCATACATCTGTTCAAACAATCTTCCAGTCACCTCTCACCACAACTTTAGGCAAGTTTGCACAAGACCGAACAGACTTAAATTGAACTTAAATTGACAGAAACCTGGACAGTGATCAGAGATTCTACAGAATCTGTAACCTACAGGTTCATATGTCTGTGCCAGGTTGTAATAAAACTCAACTACTGTAACCTTGATCACTTTGATCTGTCTGCAGCTGATAAAACATGTTGGTCTCAGACACAAAGAGCAGCAGCGTAGATATGATCAGAGATTTGCTTTTGTTTGCTTTTGTTTTAGATAATTCTGAGTTACATAATGATAAACAAGCTGAGAAAATTGGCATGTATATATATTTAAATGCCTCACTGCCCATTTTCTAAGCTTGTTGTTCAGTTGCGCCTTCAATAAAAGTATTACAGAATCATGTTAATAATAATTATGAAAATATCCAAATTAAAGCAGCCTAATTTTAACTGTAATTATTTTGTAATTATATTTAAAACATAGAATGAATGCAATAAAACTAGAACCAAATTACATATTTATTTTTTTTAGGAAAACAATTGCATTATATCTTAGAATGAAACTAATAATTTATAAATGAATAATGATACATTTATATTTCTATTCTCAACTACAACACCTGACATTTTGATACATAGTGATACATACAGAGTGATTTTGATGTGGGAAAAATAATTACGGGACGATTAAAAAAAAGAAAAAATGTGTTCAATTACCACTGAGGTGGGTTTGTTGCAGGACTCTTCGGCTAAATGAAAAGGCATTGCTTTATTGCAGCGGTAAAGTCGAGCTCTGGGAAATGTTCCTGTGCATGATTAGGCTCAGTGGTTCCGTTTGAGGCGGTTTAAAAGCCTCCATTATGGCCTGCAGCAAGCTAAATGGACTGTCAAATTGCATTTTCATGTTGCATGTGACTTGTGCCCAATTTTATGCTCGTGGACGTGCGCCCCAATATCAGAGGGGAAAAAAAATGTGGCTTTGTTTGGTGTGGTTTTTGTTTAAAGGGAATGTTCGAGTTTGGGATTAATGAACTGTATCTTAAAAATTAGTCGCATATCAGTCATAAAATATAACACTGTTAATATTATTATTTTTATCATTATTATGATATTATAATATTAATATATAATATAATATATATTATTATTAGGCCTATGTATTTTACATTCAAAATCCCATCAAATGCATTATGCATCAATGCATAATTTTCCATAACGAAATTCTACGTCTACCCATCTAACAAAGCCTGATCTATCTTTTTCTTGAACTATGAAATATTTCAGCCGACCATTAAAAATCAAACCAGTCTGTCCAGCCGCCACAAATCAAAAGTATCCTACATGTAGAGCAGCTCAGAGCATCAGAGCCAGCCGCTGCTGGGATGGGAAGGACATGTGGATGGACTTACCGACACACTCGTTGGCCTCCCTGGCTGTGGCTCTCTGCCACGGTCTGTCGTAGTGGAAAGGTTTGCACCTGTCGCATTCCGGCCCAGCGGTGTTGTGCTTGCACTCGCACACCAGACTCCCATCCCGGTCCTTTACGCACCGAGACGCGTGCCCGTTGCATTTGCATCTCCCTCCGACCTGCAGGTCCGACACGGCGTAGAAGTACGAGTCCCGGGCAAGCTCCGAGTCGTCCTCGTTCTCGTCGCCGAAAGTGTGCAACCGGCTGAAGATGACTTTAATGTCGGTGGCCGTCACCCAGTCCTGCAGCACCGGGGAGTTGTCAAAGTCGTGCGCCGACGGTCTGCCGTCCAGCGTGCTGAAGGCGATGAGCCCGCCGGTCAGAGGGTACATGTCGGTGTGGGAGTCCGTGCACACGGCCTCCTGCTCGTTCTGCTTCGTGATAACGGCCCGGTTCGGTTTGTTATACATCTTCCTGCACTGGGTCGAGTAAAACTGAAAGGGCACCCACGTTTTACCGTTGTCCATGGACTTGTAAATGACCATGGATTCTGGTCGAGGCGAGCAGAACTGCAGGCTCACATAAGTGACCTCAAACTTCTTTCCGAGGGACAGAGTCAGGGTGACATTCTGCGGGTACTGGATGAAGTTCTCGGACTGCCAGCAGGTGAGGTTGTGCGGGTTGTTGAGGTCCGTCAGGTACGCAGGAGGGTGGTACTTCTTGGGGTCCGAGGCATCGCAGGTGTGACAGTTCCTGGTCCTCTCGTCTCCTTTCTCCGCCGACGTGACCACGCAGTAGCGACCGGGCACCTTGCCGCAGGTGCTGGACACCTTCACTTCCTTCCCGAAGGCGGAGTTGACGAAGTCCGGGATGCAGCGCCGCGGGTTGCCGTGCTCGTCGTAGCAGGGGTCCGGGGGAGAGGTCTGCGCAGCGAACAGGCTCATCCCGTACCCGCCGAGGGCGCTCCGGCACGACAGGGACGCGGCGAGCAGCAGAGTCAGCACAACATCCACAGCCCTTGTCATGGTCGGTCCCCTCGGTCCCCAAGTGTCTGTGCCGCTGGAGGAGAAAGGGAAAGCATGTGGGAAGAGAGAGTGAGGGAGAGAGTAAGAGAGAAAGAGAGAGAGAAGGCGAGAGTAACAAGAATGGAGAGAGTGAGTAAGGAAGAAGATTCAGAGAGAAGATGGAACCATGAGAAATGAACTATAAACCTAAATCATAACCCGAAGATGCCAACCACGATCAGCGAGTGATCCCGAGGAGGAGAGTAAAAGTTTCAGCACCGGTGAATCCAAACCAGGTACAGTCATGTATAAAAAAAATGATACCTCACGAACAAACAAAAAACCAATTGAGTGGCAAAGAATCAACCAAATAACTGGTACAGGAGTGATGAAAAAAAAAAAAAAGTAAAGAAACTATATTTTTATATAAAGCTCACTTTACCTGAGGATATATTTTTTTTAAAAAGATGTAAAAATACCGACGATGATCTTCGGCCACTTTTCTATAACGGGCTTCAATCACAGCTCCTCCTGTTTTCTTGTTTGTTTCTTCAAATCTCCTGCATAAAAAACAGAGGAGCTGCTGGATTTTAAGAGTCGCTAGTGTCCTTATAGCTAGTCCCACTCCTCCTGCCGGTCTTTTCACAACCTCTCTCTCTCTCTCTCTAATCGGAACGGGTCGGTTCTCGCTTGGCACAGCTCCTTTAGGTCAGCTCATCTTGAGAGGTGACACCACGCAGGGCGGAACAACGACATCCACTGGTGGCGCGTCAGAAGATTGGCGCTTGAGGATGAGACGCAAAAAAATGACCGCAGGATGAGAAGGCGCAAACGACTGGGACGTACACAGAATTTGCGTTCAATGTGATCGCCACACCTTCATCTGCACGACACCTGATAAGATCCTGTAGTTTAATGGCCGGGATGTGGAGCGAATGAAACACACCATGCAACAACTGTTATTAGGCCTATAACCGCAGGCGAATTGCAATATAATGGTAATTATCACCGTTTACATAATAAAAGTTTATAAAAAAAATACCCTGTATTTATTTATCCTGGTGATGTAAAAAAAATAAAAAAATAAATAAACATGAAAATTCCGAAAGGACATTTTAAATCCCTTGATGTCAAAAAAACGTGTCAACAAGGCTGCCTATAACTTTTTAGTGTTATATTTTCTATTTCATTAAGTAACAAAATCATAATGCACTTGAAGAATAAGAAAGTTCAATATTTGTCAACCAGAAAGTTTCTTTAAAAACCCTAAAACACCAACAACAAACCACAATAGGATTCATGTAGGATATAAAAGTGGTATCTTTTACAATTCACGTTAACTTGTCCATCCACAGCATCAGTGCTTACTCAAAAAATCAGCTGCTGAATGCAGCCATTGTTCATTTGCAAGGCTGAGTTTCCATTGCTTGGTTGGCATTCACTACCACAAAAATGAATTCTAAGGATGTGAGTTGGATTGGGTTGGATGTCATATCAGTAGGGGTGACAGCAAAAGGAAAGGTTGTACACTAATTTTGGATCATTATTAACTATCTTATTATTTAACGTGATTTACTAATTAGTTTAACGACTACTAGTTACTGTGGAAAGTAATAGTATTACAGTAATGTGTATTACTAGTAATGCATTGACTGCCCAACACTGTCCACAGGTGTGCCAAAGTATAAAAAAAAACAGATGACATTCTATGCAGTGTTCATGTCACATCATATAGAATGTCCTATAAGTCGAACCATAATCGTCAAGTTTAATACATATCATTCATATCATAACATATCATTAAGTTACAAAATGATAAACAGGGAGGAAGTATCATAGGGTTTAAATAAGAAGTTGGACGAATGAACTGCAACATGGACAGAAAACTGAAACCATTA